TGGTTCTAAAGGAGTTTTCACTGGTTCTTCATGGAGGTAATTTAAGGAATTTTAAACACTCTTCGGACAAAACCAGGCAATAGGGGCCTATTTCTGATCTCACGGCCCGGGGACGATCTCTCCTGCGGCTCGGGGAATTAACCCCGTGTAAACGTGTTCAAGATCAGCCTCCTGGTGGGGATTTTACTTGACAGTAGCCTGTGAAGAAACAATATTTTGGCAAGAAAAAAGGAGAAAAGCCTCTCTGCCAGCCCTATCCCGACTTCCATTCATTCACGTCCCAGGGCTAACTTGTAGGCAGACGCCTACAGAAACGCGAGGTCTCCAGCAGGACGGGGCACGCTCCGTTCCCAGCGCCAGGGCTGCGGACGGGAGCCCCCGCGCAGCCCCGGGGTGCGGGCCGGCCGGGCGGGCGGGCAGCTCGCTGTGCCCGGAGCCCCGGCCGCCCCCCGGCCTGCGCTCAGCACCGCGGCCCCTCCGCGGGGAGCGGAACACGTGCTCCGAACCTGAAGCGCTCCTCCGCTCCCAGCAAAGGCAGCGGAAAACCCGCCCTTGCGGGCGGCGGGAGAGCGCTGAGGCAGAGCTCCCGCCACAGCGAGGGGAGCTGATGGCAGAAACGGAGAGGGGAGGGCAGAAGGAAGAGTCTGCGCTCCTCCGCCCCTTTGCACCAGTTTGTCTTGCAGTTATTCAAAATGATTGAGTTTTCTGAAGAAGGCCCTTTAGAGAGAAAACAATACCAGCAGCAACCTCTTCCTCCAAAACCAACATGAATATCAACCTGTCCACTGGCAGGGCTGCGGAGCTCAGAGGCATTACAGTAAAATTTACGGCGTCCTTAACAACTCCCAATAAAAGCATTAAAATTCCCTTTAATTGAGAAAACATTGATTTTTAACTCTGGAAAGAACGAACCCGTAATTTAATTGCAAGCTTTCACGGACAGAGCAGCATCTCAGGGAGGCCACATTCCATCTTTAATAGAGCCACTTTATGAAGTGATAAAACCAAAGAAAACCTGACAAACAGAGACAGTTGAAATTGCGCAAGAAAAGTTATTTGCCTTCCCTTTCCCTCTTCGCAGCTCCAAACTATCCCGCTCTTCCCTCCCCCTCCAACCTCCGCTCTCCGATCACAAAACACAACTGTAAAAGTAAAGGATTTAGGGTCTAGGGAAGAAGTAGTAGTTAATATTTTAAATAACGATTTGCTTTTACTAGGCACCGGGTGATGCCAGGAGGTTTAAGGGAACATTTTCACAAAATGGTAGCCTCTTCTGAAAAGGAAACTAATCGGATAAAACTTCCTTGATTTCCCTTGTTCGTTACAAAAATAATTGCTAAAGGGAAGGAAAGGGAAATCCCACCCTCCCTTTCTATCTTATTTCTGTATCGGTTTTTGGTATTATAGAAGAGTAAAGAAGTTTTTGTTTGGTGGTTTTTCATTGATCAGTCACTCTGAGCTAATGTAATTATCCTCATCAATAGAAGGCTGCAGAGAGAATCATTATGTGGGTGACATTGATAAATGATCACCCAAGAGCTGCCTTTTCTCTTGGGCACCCCCACATATGACCCTCCCACATACACAAGGTAGCCATAGAAACACCTTGAGATCCTCAAACACTGCTGCAGATGGGAGAATACAGAGAAAGCGAGAGAAATCCAACTTCACACACTTTCTGTCCCTGCCGAAGCCTCCTTCCCATCGCACGCAGCCACCGCGCCGGGCTCCGCTCTCCTGCCCCATGGGCGCGCAGCCCGGCCCCGGCCCCGCGCCCTCTCATGGCACCACAGCGAGCAACTGGGGGGAGGGGGTGCCTTATGGAGTTCGCTTCTGGGAATGCTAAATCTTTTTTGGTTTTTTTGCTTTCTTTCTTCCCTGGAATAGTTAAGCAATGAGGTTGCACGCACCGTACGTATTGTACGCGCATTGCGGAACCTCTGGTTTTAATGGCGCTCTTGGAGACGCACACCAAAGATATTCACCCCATCCCAGTAATGCGACTCCTGGAAAATGGTTAAACACCAATTTTTAGCAGCGATTTTTTAGTCACAGGCCTATACAAGAAGATTCTGTATTTTTTTACTAAGGCAGAGAGTTTTTTTTTTCCTCCAGCCGCAGACCCTCCTGTTTTTGTAAGCGAATTCTAAAATATTGAGAGCAGCAGTAATTGATTCACAATGATCCATAAATCGATGTAAGGAATGGGGTGAAGGTGTTTATTTATTTTTTTTATTCCTAAAGCTGCAAGTAAAGTAGCTTTGACATCGTGTGGGGATGAAGGGGAGGAGTTGTTTAGCCGTGCGGGGTCATCCATCATCGGTGTCGCAGAGACTCTGCCCAGAGGAGCGACCTCCCTTCTGTCTGTCTCTTTCTCTCCACCAAAACTATTAATATTAAAATCTGCCTGCAATCTTGCCCCCACCCGCCCCTCATCCCACCCGGTCCTGCTCAGCCCTCAGCGGCTGGGCTGCCCAGCCTGGAGCTGGCTCTCTCCGGCGCAGCGCCAGCGGGGTTATTTTTCCCCAAGCGCTGTTAGGAGAGTTAAAAGGCCGGCCCCGTTTCCTCTGCTGAACCCAGGGATGTGGCAGGGGAGACGTGGGGCTCAGCCATCCCCCCGCCCAGCGGAGCCTTCTCCTGCCGCTCCGCGCAGCGCGGGACGCGGTCGTGCCTGGGGTAAAGATGCGGGCGTTTTCCGGGCTCCATGGGGGTTTTTCCTAGCACACGCATCAGGCGTGCAGTGGGGCTGGTGGCTCCGCATGGAGCCCCGCAAAGGCGCCGCCGGCAGACCCTGGCTCCCTTCGGGCAGCCTGGAGAGCCGCTGGAGCCATGAGCAAACCCTACAATGGAGAGAGGGTCCAGCTCCTGTCCCCGCCGCACCCCTTCCCCTGCCCGGCCCGGCCCGGCCCCTCCCAGCCCCCCGGCCCTCGCAAACCTGGTCTGTGGCAATTTTCTCTCCCTCGCTCTCTCTGCGGCTATGAATGAAAGGTGGGGAGCGCCCGGCTCCCCCCGGCATCTCCTCTTCGGCCCTGCGGTGCCCGCTCGCCGCGACGGGCAGGGCTCGGGCGGCAGCGCTGCCGGAGGTGCGCTCCCCTCCTCTCTTCGCCTTAAAGGCAGCAAAATCTGGAAAAAAAATCCCTCATTTATGGTGACTACAACTCCCAACGCAGACCCGCTCGGCGAAATAGAAATTTGGGATTATAAACATGTGTGTATGTAAACAAAAGGTGTTTCTTCTGTTACCCTTCGTTTCCCACAGCATAAGCAATTTTTATTCAGGCTTGAGTATTTTCTTTAACACTATACCGCTGTCAAAACATTATTCCCGTTTTGTTTGCTCTTGACAGCTGAGCAGTTCTTAAAAATACCAAAATCGGAACCTTCCATGCTAAACAGAAAACCTCAGATGGAGAAATCTCTGCGCGATATTGTACCTTGGATTTCAGCAAGACATCTCACGGAGAGCACAGCCCAAAAGGGGGAGAAAAAAAGAAAGAAAATAAAAGACAACACAGCAATGCACATATTTAGTTCATTATAAAAACAAATAATCTACTATGGCTACATTCTTCCCCGTCTTTCTAGCAATGTGATTTCTGACATTTCTCTTCAGATTCTAGAGAAAAAAATCTGCAAGGAAATAAAGTACTGTTAAAAAAAATTAATTTAAAAGCCTCCCCTTTAAAGTGCTAACAGAAATAATCTTGCCTTCTTAAATCCTGCATCCACAAAAATCAGGGAATATGGGAATGGGCACCCAGGCTCTGATCTTCTTATGCGACTGAAGGGTTCATGTGATTTTAACCAGGACAGAGAGCATCAACGCCAAGCAGGGAATTATAATCTAAATTTCATACGAAAGCCTTATAAGAGACGCCCACAAAGCAGGACCCGATTGCTAAATAAATTCTACTGGCATCCTCCCTTCTGTAACCAGCAGCGTGGGTCCATTTGCTCAGCTCAGAAATTAAACATTAACTAAGAGGTTGAGCCTCTTTCCACATTCCAAGGGTAAAAGTTGTCACTCACAGTTTTTAAAAACACCCTGGCCAGTTGGAATGATGAGAAGGAAGGAGGAGAAGGGTTACAAATTTACAGGTGTTGAAGTCGGACATTTTTGTTTCCTAGAAAGTTTAGTTAATTACAAGTCCTTTCCCACTCTTCTCCTCTCAGGAAAAAAGGCAGAACTTTCCCCTGCCCTTTGGGCCCCATCTGGCTCTTGCTGATTTAACAGTGCCACTGAGGAAGGTGAGAGGCTGCTTTTTCTAAATTTATCATTGATCTTCCTAGTTCAAACTCTGTTTTAGTTGCTTCAAAGTGCCAGAAGCTTTGGTTTAAGAAAAAAACAAACCCTTAACCATGATTCTACTCCAGCTATTTGTATACAAAATGTCAAATCAAAATTCTTCTGTCATTAGCTGATGGTTTGTTGTTTTGGTTTGGTTGGTTTGTTTTTTTTTTTTTTTTTTCTGAAAACAGCTGAAGACAACAAAAGGACTAAAACCATCTGAAAATCTAGCTTATGCAATTTTCACATAGGAAAAATTCCCATTGGAGTCAAAACTTCTTTTCTTCTCCTAAAACTTCTAAATCTACTCCTGCAATAAAGCCATTCTTTGCCTCTGAGCTAAATACCTGGAGGTAAGGTCTGCTGTGGCTATGGACACACACACACATGTACATGTACACACATGGCATTAGTCATCCCATGTCCGTGCCTCCGCCACTCAAGCTCAGCTCCTATGCTTTTAGCAAGCAGCACAAGTATTAGCCACACCTCTGAAATGCAAGCTGGTGAAACAATATTTCAAATTTTGTTTAATCTGGCAAAAATCTAATATCAGTAATCAGCAGAAATATATAACTTCAGATGGCGTTTTCATTCAGTTATTCTATTAATGTGATGACAAACTTGTTTCTGATTTTTCCAGCATTTCTTCTCAATGCTCTCATGATAACCTCAGTCTCCTAAACATGATTAAAAACACAAAAGCCTAGCAAAAAATCAAAAATGAAATATTTATTACCGCATTTTGTGACTTAACACCTTTTTTTTCCTTTTTAAAACATAACGTCACAGTCCTCATACAAGTATTTTAATGTAAATTTTGACAAAGCTTAAAGGTAACAGCATTTTCTTCTAGTGAGGAACACGTGCTGAGAAAGGAAGAATTCATGGACATACAATACCAATTCCACAGCAGATCTGATACTAGCAAAAACATTCTTTTTTTTTTCAATTGAGGTAAACACATAGAATATCTAACATGAAACAATTAATAGACCGAACTCTGTACGAAGTTTGTTACAGTATTCTCTTGCTTTTTTTTCCCAAGCTTTGAGTTCATGATAAAGTCCTAGGTTTGGTGCAAAGACCGTTAGTAACTTCTTTCATTGAGGAAAGCTGCCCAACTTTTAGTTTTGTTTTGTCCAAAGCCAAGGCTCAGAACTACTGGAAGAAGCTTCTGCTCTGTCTGTTCTGTCTTTTAAATCTTCACCTGCAAGCTCTTTGAAGAAGAGTCCAAAAAAAAAATAGATTGGGAGGAATGGGGAGAGACTTAATGAAGCACAAACTATAAAGATCTGTTTGAAACTAAAGGACACATTTTATGAAGGAACAAAATGAGGGAATGGCAAGGCCTTCTTGGAACAGTCTTCTGAGTGATGAGAGACCCAGCAAGACTTTTCATCTTCATCTCCAGGGTAGTTCTTTTCTCACTGGCCAAAACAGGTCTTTCATGGATAGTGACTTCACTGCTGAACCAAAACAGTCATTCTTTTGGGAACAACACACATAGTGTGGAAAACAAGGATTTTTTTTCTTCTAAAACTATTTGAGGCAACGTAACGGAGTGATCAACAGAAATGTACAAGTTAACTTAGTTCCTATGTTTATACTACAGTAGTTATAACTCTTGGAGTCTTTTTTTTTTCCAGAGGATCTGTACATGGACATATTCATTTCAGTGAGCCCATGATTTCACATTTGTGTTCTTGTTTCATTGGTCCTCTGTTGTTGATGAAAAATGACAAAAAGTAAAAAATAATCACAGCTGTCTGGAATTTCGTATTAAGTGTCAACATCTGGTCAAAGTTCAAAAGTCTTAAAATAGTTTCTGTTTGTTTTTGTTTTGTTTTTCCCTTGAGTTCCCTTATTCTATTGGGCATGAATGTCCATAACTTGTCCACCAACAGTGGGGTCTACAGAATTTAACACTGTGGGGCTCTGTGCTGACATGGTCATTCCAGGGTGGGTAGGGGGTCCTCCGTGCATCATCATGGCTGGGTGGTGGGGGTGACTTGGCAAATATGAATGGATTGGGTGTCCATGTCTTAATTGAGTTGGGTATGGGGTCATCTGGGGAGGAGTGTAACTTGGCTGTGCCATACTCATACCCATAGGACCACCCTGAGATACGTAGTCCCCTGGCATGCCTTGCAAACCTAGACAAAAAGGGGAAAAAAAAGCAGGTCAGATTCCTCAACGTTTTTACAATTTACCCATCTAAAATGAACAGGAAAAACAACAGACACTGCAAATCTTCCATCTAAAATTAGCTGCAGATTCTTGCCAATG